ACAGAGTCAGACAGACCGGAAGCGGGCGAGGACAAAGGTAACTGCTACGGCCAAATCCCGCACCTCAGCGTGCCACAACACCCCCTGGTGCACTACGGACACCGACCAGGAAAAGAGAGGGGACGGCTCATATCCAATTAGGGGGGAGTGTCATAGAAGCCACAAACACACATAGGGCTGACTGCGAGATCCAAATTATCTCGTCAGTTGACAGCCTTTCAAGCCACGGTTTCTATTGCGATTTTATTATAGACTTGCACAGCATCTACCGCACTCTCTACTCTCCCCCCACCTGGGTCCGGTGCCTAGAGAGAGTCAAGAAGACCAGAAGTGGGGGAATACACAAGTGGCGGTGCGGCCGGAGCCGCGCCTGGGCGTTCCGCCGCACCTGGCTCAGATCCCACTGCGTGGGAGTGCCATAGAGTGTGGCGGCCAGTCATCATGACCGGTCTGGCGCCATTGTTTAAGACCTCGCTGTATCACGGCCATTCACCCTTTTGCAGCGAGCCGTCCCAGGCGCGCTGACCTGAAGTCACACGACCGACAGCTCGGGTACACCTGCGGCCGCAGAGTCGTAGCCGCCCATGCGGCCACTTGAACACACCTCCCTCCTGCAACCAGCAAAACAAGCCACTGGGGCACTACCCCTTGACAAATGCAACACCCACTGACTGGACACCACTTGTGCTTGGCCCACGAGCCTACAAAAGCGGCTGCCACCTCTATCTCAGGTACTCTCAGGCATGGCTGGACGCAGTCAACTCCAGCCCTGGCTTCGCCAGCGGCCACTGTCGCCTGAGAGGACAACTCCGCGTTCTGTGCACAATAAATCGCTAATTCCGGGTCCTTCTTCTTCCAATCTAGTAGTAGTAGTAGTAGTAGTAGTAGTAGTAGTAGTAGTAGTAGTAGTAGTAGTAGTAGTAGTAGTAGTAGTAGTAGTAGTAGTAGTAGTACAGACATATACACACTCTCACCGTCTGGTCACAACAAGAGGCCACATTAAGAAGGACCCATGTCAGCCTGACTCGTGGACAACCAGCCGACCGCTCCAAACAAACACACAACACTGGACCGACTGCGAGGTCCAAATTATCCCGTAATTTGGCAACCTTCCAAGCTATGGCTTTTGGCGTACCGTGATAGCTTAAAGCGCGTTAGATTGTTCATAGTAAGGAAGATGTGCCGGGTCGTAGAACTCACTCTCTATTCCTATTTTCAGGCCCCAGCCACTGTTCGAACCGGTCATTTGTGCGGTGCGGACATTTGGGCGCAGTGACTGACATATATAATTACCTTGTCTGCGAGCGCCACATGCCTGACCTGCCCCCCCCCCCCAAAAAAAAAAGAGACCAGGATTTCACACAACGGGGGTTGGGTGGAATGGATCTTACCTGCGTAAGAGCGCCGAAGGTCACGTTAGGAAGGAGTCATTGCAGCCTGACTATCAGCCCACCAGGCTGCCACTCCACACAAACACACACACACACACACACACACACACACACAATGGACCGACCGCTAGGTCAGACCTATCCAATCAGTTGGCAACCTTCAAAGCCACGATGCTATTCTCAGGCTCAGGTCACGCATGCAGCAGAGGAGCCACATGAAAAAGAAGCCGAGGAACACGCTGCCTACGTACGTGAGAAGTGTCATTGACGTGCTTTCGTTGTGTTATTTTGGGTGTGGTCATGTGTGATGCAGGTGCTGGTGATGATATGGTGCAGCTGGTGGTTCTCTACCGTAGTTAGGATGCACGTGACCTAATACGTCCAAACAGCAACCACCACCACCATTGTCACGACCACCACCCCTATCACCACCGCTACTACTGAACTACACTACTACTACTACTACTACTACTACTACTACTACTACTACTACTACTACTACTAC